ATTCGCTCAGATCATTGAAATACAATTATGCTGAAATCATGGTCTGAGTGAAAGTGTGCAAGGGAGTGGATGTCAGTGGTATTGGTCAGTACATCTATCAGTATGGCGAGCTTTGGGACAACGCTCAAACTGCCAGCACAGAGGTCCCTGAACACAATTTGGAAGGCCAGCCACCAATCATCGTTTTGCACTCTGGTGTTGTAAAGAAGGTAGTGGTGTATACGGAATATCGTCACACTTCTGAACTACTCATGCCTGCAGCACCAAGAGGGCAAGCCTGACTTGCATTCTATTTACTTACATGTACCTGTTCCACATCACAATCAGAAACTGTAGGATCAACTTGCATGGAGTTACTGGGCATGGATGCAGCGCCAACTGTACCGAATCTTGACCTGTGTGACTTTAAACTCTATTTTCCATGCTTTCGCTCATCAGATTGTCACCAAATTTGATAACTTGAATGATTAATAGTGTAGAATCAATTTCGAGCGAAAAAATAATTTTTGAAAAAATTACACATGTTCAGGTTTCTGCTGGCTGGGGCTCAATTATGGACCCGGCATTATCGATAATTTTCACGAAATGAAAAGTTTAGTTATGAGTAACTTGTGACCGTCCCCCACCCCCACCTACTCACCCCTCAACGAAAAATAGCTGGAATGGACTAGTGTTTCAGCTATCAATATTTTTCATTACGAAACCCTTCTTGACCCACCCGCCCATGAACGATTTTTTTTCTCGTTTCAAAGATACTCAATCTGTTAAAGATAGATAATTATGGACGGCCCCTAACGTACCAGGTTAAAAATGAATGGACCGTAGAAGATTGTTTGTGATATCACACGATCAGAACAGGTGACAACCAACACTACATGGCTGTATACTTGATGTGCTGCATTTACTGGGTGCAACGCAGGGAGTTGTAGCATCTAGGTAGATGGCACAGGCGACTGTAAAGCTAAATGACATGGGGTTCGACCCAGGGGTTCCTGTTTCAGCCACCCTTGGGCAGATCTATACACGCTCGTACATGGTATTGCTAACCTGGGGCGTTCTCAGGGTCAGTAGGTCAAGGCCGTGATCGCGGGTTGCACAGATCACGGAGAACCTCCAAATCCTGACCCAAAGTTCTATAAAGTATTGCGTAGTCAGTGTAGGTGCTATGACTCCCTGGTGCGATGTATCTGCTGGTAAATAGACAAATTGCAACCAGGCCATAATTCGGATAGAGCAGACGATCCTGTCCTGGACTCTGTTCCCCATTCAAAGTATCTAGACTCATATAGTGAGGGAGGAAAATTGTGGTACTGACTCCGATTTTCATGCGCTAAGAAATTATCAAGTACATTGTATATGTAACTGTAAATGATAACCACTCAAAGTACGAAGCTAACAGTAATATTCACTGGTTAGAGGGAAAGGCACAAACGGGAAAGGTCTGAAGAAAAAATTGACTGTCACCACCAGGATTCGAACCAGGGACCTTCGCTTGAGGCCAGCGATGCTCTAATCACTGAGCTAAGGTGTAGCCGTCATCCCAGCCGAGATCGTTCAACATTTTCTTCAGACTTCGTAACGCACACTAACAACATCAGCTAATGGTATATGTACTCTTTTTCGATAGTACATGCAAGCTCTACCTTGTGATGTTGAGCTCTCTTTGTTTGGTGGGGGTACTCCGATCGTCTAATGTGAACCACAGTCCACCTACAGTTCTACATTTGCAACGTTGTCCAATGTGCATCGGCACGCATTGTACATAACTGTTACAGCAGAGTGTAGATTATCCGCACCCCTCGGGCGCACGCTTTCTCCAGGGGGTTCGGATGGGGAAAAATTCGGATAACGGAGCAGTCACACATCTGTCTAAGACTTGCACATTCCTTCACGTTTCCACCAGTTCTCACATTCTCTTCACAGGAACTAGACACACTCTAGCTCCTCAATCTGAAAACTGGCATTTCGAATAAGTGATTGTTCGGAATATCGGCATTCTACTGTACCGTAAAGTCGCGGATAAAAGCCGGGCTTATAATATAAGCACATAAGCCGCTTTCTCCATCAGGTTTTAATGCAAACCATGCTTATTATGCACCACTGATATTTTTGCCAGACTTGTATGCCAGACTTCTACGTGCGACACGCGTAGATCTACCACTGACTACCGGTATGGCGGCAGTTTTACTATGCTCCATACATAGCGCATGCACTCTTGACCCACCCGATCCGCGCTTGCATAGAGCAAGGCTTCTACGCGCGAGGGCTTATATGCATTCGACCCGTTTGATTTTCTGGCTTCTATCTGCGATGTGCTTGTATGCAAACCCGGCTTTTATCCACAACTTTACGGTATTCATATTCACGCTCTGGAACAGGAGATCCTAGTTCGACTCAGACTGCCCTTTCCATAATACCAAGAGTAGATAAACAAGAGTGTGCAAATCCGGATCTCTCCTGCACAATCTGCAGATACCCCCGCCCATGGCGGAATTTTTTGTTGACGTCACCTTTTTTCAGAGAAACGCGCAGTTTGCCGCAGAGCAGTGTGAGAGCACGTGCTGGACACCGACCTTGTAGTGTAAAGCCCGGCCAAGAGCACGAGGGAAAACTTTCCGAAAGACTCGCAGCGCGTGCGTCGTCGAAAAGATTACGTCAACAAAAAATTCCGCCGTGGGCCAACCCATCCGCGAGTTGCACACTCTTGTTTATCTACTCTTAATAATACGTTTCCCATGTACTCGCAGTTCTTTTATCGGAACATCTTTTCTTCCCAACCTCAAATCCTGTGCAACACCGGTTGGCTTTCCTCAGTTTCCTGAATGGTGTTACCTGTCAATAGAAGCATGAGTGGCCATTTAATATACCAGTATAATAAAACATGTACATAATTATCGGAGAAAGGATCGGATGTGGGTAAATAATCTGAAACTGTCCACCTCTCCTCACTGCGCTCTTGGCCCACATTTACCACACCATACCGAGGAAGTTTGTTCTTGGATAGATGCTCTACATCCTCCAGACATCTATCCAAGAACAAACTTCCTTGCTATGGTGTGGTGAATGTGAGCCAAGAGTGCAGTGATGGACAGTTGCAAATAATTTTACTACAATGTGCTAAGCAGAACAGAGGCACTAGCACCTGGGTGGAAACTATTCTGAATTTTGAATGCCAGGGAAGGCTGAAGGATACCCATGAAACCACTGCCAAAGCAAACACAAATTTGAAAAGCAGTGCATGCATGGGAAAAAGGAGCCAAGGAAAGTGTGTACATATTTTTGTTGAAAGGATGAGAATTCAAAGAAAGCTGGCTGCTTCCTCTATTTCCATGATCGGCCAGTGCCTGCAGCACGAACAGTGCATTGTATTACATGTATGTGCATAGACAGACAAATAAACACTAACCTGAGCATGGGTACCGCTTATATTCGTGGTCAGGAAAGTGAAAGTACGAACGAAGGAGAAGAAGATTGTTGACCATGGCGAACAACTGCATATCCAGAGGGCACACGGCTTGCCAGAATGGGTCGGCTACATCTTCGCTAATTTTCTATTCTGACAACACTTCAGCTTCGAGGTCAAGGACGACGGCATTTTTGGAAAGAAATTTCGAATTTTGGAGAAGAAGCTTGCTTTCGGAAAAATGTTCCTTTCACGCAAGGCAGCATGCCAGGTCAGGCGTGTGAACCAGGTGAACTGTGTCGGCAGATCCACGTTTACGTTCCAGGCCGACAGTTTTTTGACCAAGCCGTGAATCGCCCTCGCTCTGACTCCCCCGGCTACGAAGGAGTAATTTTACAACTCTTCAGGCCAGCTACAGGTCTCTGATGCAGAGCTGCAAAGTGACGGATATTTTTTACTGATATGCCGCCAAAAGTTTTTTTTTTTAAATAAATAAATACAGTATACTAGTAATGGGGCTGTTAAGTGTGACGTCACGGACCCTTCGATACGCATAGCAACGGAGAGCACTGGGGACAAACAAAAGTCGCGTCCTCTGGATGGAACCAGTTGTCAAAGGCAACAGCATCTAAATGACTGGGGAGAGAGCAGTTTTTCTTTGCTTTTTCTTCAAGCGATTGTTGTCGCTCTTTACTCCTCGTTCTTTCCTCTACAAATTTCCTGTAGTCGTCGAGGGCCTTCATAATGGCTGTGAAATTGGCTGCCCACTGTAAACCTCCGTGTTTGAGAGTGCTTTGAAGATTATTCGCGTCCTGATGGATCAAAGTACGAGCGCTCCCTGTGGATTCGATTATATGTAGGTGAGTTGTTCAAGAAATCATTGTCTTCTTTCTGTCTCTGCCCTCACGTTGGCACAATAATATCAGCCTGAGGCCTCTATATCCATGACATCTCGCACCTCCCGTGAACTGCATGACTTAGATTATTCTCGCCCTCCGTGGTGATTGAAGACCCATGGAAGAAGTTATTATGTTCAGAATGATGTCCTGAGAATATAAAATAAAGTAATTCTAGGGAATTGTTACAGGGTATTTTGGAAGGATGGAGAGAGAGAGAGCACTGTTTGAAGTGTTTGTCTCACTGTAATTACTCCAGATTATTGAATGGTGTACGATCTACTCGATATTTTCCACAATGGTTTTCCTGATTTGCGGGATCTCTTCTTTTGCTGTTTGCGTGTTTACAGGAAGTGACTGTCTGGTGTACTATAGTATCTGCACCAGATCCTGGGGACATGAAATCAGATGCAGAGGCAGGGTCGTCCAGTGATGCAACACTGCCGTTCTATGTGCAACGTCACCGGTAATTCTCCCAGGCAAAAACACAAAAAGACAAACACGTCAAGAGACTACAGTATTGACCGTTCTGGTAATGAATCGTGACTGCTCGGACAGTCCATAATCGAAACACAGAGCACCAGCATGACGTTTTGATATTGGGAACCACACACCAGCTCAATTCTCAAGCCCAGAAATTGATGAATACAAAACACAGAGCGACGCAACAAAAGATCATCCGGCAACCAAACCAACCTGGGTCTAATGCACTGAATAGTCCTGAAATACGCAGGCCACACAAAGCAGTGCAAGCACATACTGTAACAAGGTACATGCATTGCAGAACAAAGTGTAACCAAAGATACACGGGGTTATAGCTGCACACTCGTGCATATGCTCGCTCAGCCCAAGAACACGCATGATGATAGAAATAATCCGGGGGAAACACGCTAGCACCGAAGTAAGCATCAAGACGTAAATAGTCGTCATCACAAGCCCATAGCCCTAAGGCCGTCGAGGCGTCACAGAGCAAGTATGAACAAGCGAGCGCCATAAAAATCGATCGCGTGCAGTAGCGAGCAGGGACTGCACGTCAAGTGCAGTCCATGAAATAATATTATCAAGCCATGACATTCTGGGCCTGCCTCGGCCACGGCCTCCAGCAACACAAACCTGAAGAACAGTCAATGACAAACAGCCGGAACAAACAATATGACCAAAAAATTGCAATTTCCTTTTACGCACAGAAACAATAAGTGGGACTTGTTTGTGAATACTATTAATTTATTTCCTCTCTCACAGACACAATCGTCCGTAAATAGTGCAGCTCTGAAAAAGTAAAAAATACATTGACATGTACATTGGTGTGCCGAGTAGTATCATCCTTGATTACCCATCCAACCAAGACGTTTTCAGGTCCCAGACGCCGAGATCGCACACCGAATGTGAAGTGCATCTAGCCTTGAACCTGTTGCACAAGGCACACACATATGACAAAAATGACATCCACTCCGATTATTTCCAGAGGCCAATCATAACAGAACACAGAAATGAAACCACGGGCTCAACAAAGTACATGTAAACGCAAAGGAAATTAGTTAAAATAATCCATGAAGTGCTATTTTAATTCCAGCGCTGACTGCAGTGTGGCGTCGTGGCCCGATACCCGCTGAGCATAGACACAAGCTCCATTTGACAGGGGCAAGACATACTATTAATTTTTGGAATAAATTCATAAAGTACAGCATTCCAATGACATGACGGACACCTCGTGCAAATGCGTGGTCTGTTCATCCGGCCAACTCGGCCACGCATGAGAGTGTGTGCATGTACGCGCGCACGCAAGCGCGCGCATGCACACACACCATGTATTCGGTGCGTATGGCGTACCTGTTGCGGAGATATGAAGATGGAATCATTATCATGATGTTACATGTACATGTACAGTGTATGTTTGAGTGTAAAGTAAATTTTATTTTATTACACATTTCTTCGACACAACTATTACTTACTCCACATCTTCGCATTTCTCATAATCCATCCACCTACACTCCGTCTCAGTTGAGGAAAAACTCTCCCAGGTCTACACTAGTCACCACAGCCATGTGATGACATTGGGATGGGTCCCAAGTACGATTGCACTCTCCAGTTACAATATAATTTATTTTTCCAGAATATCTGTGAAGACAAAATGCAATGCATAGCGGCAATCGATGGATGAAGAGAGAGTTTGTAAATACACATATCTTTCCACTTGTTCAGGAGCTTACCTTTTGGAGTTCACATCGTTTACACGATCTCTTATGCTGTCTTGCACCTTGACTTTGTTGACCATGGATACGCCATCCCAGAAGACATTCTACAGGAGCTACTAATGCAGAGCGTTTTTCACGCTCGATCTCGGCGATCTACCTCGTCACGTCAATAAAATCCTCCGTGACACTGGCTACAGTCACAAGAGACGTCTCAGAAAGGTAATGAGCACGACAACACCGTCGAGATCAAGGACAAAGAGAAAACCAAACACTCACTGAAAACAGCAAAGAAGAAACGAAGAAATGTACACGATTCCTATATGTTGCCACTGACAACTGGTTCGGTGGAGACGACGCTACTTTTGTTTGTCCCCAGTGGGATCGTTGCTATGCGTATCGAAGGAACTGTGACGTCATCACTTAACAGCCCCATCAATCAGTAAAATCCAAAGAAACCGCTAGAAGCAGTATGCGTAGTAGTCTACGGCCAAGATACCAGAAACCGTATCAAACTCAGCACGGGGTTCGAGGTACTAAAACGATTACCAAACTAAGTCAAGGATTGGCCATTACATGCTGCATTCTGCCACTGCTAACGTGATCGAAGGGCAGCCGTTGATTCTTGACGCTTTGTGCCGATGACCTCTCAGGGATGTGACTGCGGCATTGACCAGTGCAAAAGACAGTTGAGTGCGGATGTATGCCATGACGATAGAGAAAGGCTCCGACCTCTTATCGGCCAACATGGATGCAATCCGAGCGTAGAGATTGCCAGCTGCCTTGCCATGACCACCTGTAGTGCTGAGGACGACCGGGATGAATGATCCATGCTCTACCTCAACGACTCTTCTCTCATAACTTCTTCTCTTTTCCTTTTCGTGCTTGCGGTACACTGCCGGGATTGATGACTTCTGGTTTGAGGGGGCAAATGGGTTGAAAACCCGGACATCAAGGAATGTCCTCTCTAACCGTCCACCATACAATCCACTGACTGCGATATCAAGGCGCGCGTTGTCGTCGGTGATGGTAGATCTCAAGGGGAAGTGTTCCCCCGAGAGAGGCTGGAGATGGGGTTCGACGGCTACATCATGGGCAACCTCCCGGAGAAGGTGGGCCGTGATGTCCCGAATCTCGTTGTGGCGGAGAGAGGGGTAGCCGCCCAGCGAGCAGGACAGGGCATGGGTGGTCGTTAATGACTTTCCACACGCACACGTTGTCGGGAGATGATCCGGCGTCCATCCATATCGGAGGCATAAGGAGTCTCGAAACGCCCCCTTGTGCAACTTGAAGCCGAAAACTGCAAGTGGCTTGGATGTTAGCCAGCTTGAGGCACCCTCCTCTGACGCGAGGTTCACGGCATACTGGATGTCTGGGTCCAGTTGCTGAAGCAGTGCAGCCATCTGCTCATTGGCCAGTTGCGTTGACTCCTTTCGGACTTCTGACTTCAAGAGCTGCATAGCCGCTCGAACTCCGCCGTTGTTGGACTCCTGTCTGAGGATCTTGTCGACAAGAGGTTGGGTGATGATGCTGGACTGACGGAATTGGTCCTCAAGATGAGTGGGGTTGATGAGACCCAATCCACCAAGTCTGTGACGGATATCGGTCATTTGCAGCCACTACTTAGAGCCTCCTGGTCGTTGCAATCTGATACATAATATACCTCGCTCTCACCAGGCCGGGAGTCGTCAAATGCCGGTACTTGACGACTCCCTGGCTCTCACTTGTCAGCCAGCTCACACGTCTTGTCGTGCACGCGCACGCGCAGACGTCCAGCGCACACGCGTGTCGAAATGTGTTTTTTGGCGGGTAGTCGGCAAAAAATTAAGTGAGGGTCCCTTTCTTGGGCGCGTTCACACTGCGACCAAAACCAGCGTCCATGCGGCCAAGTTGCATGGCAACGGCATGAACTTGACCAAAAAGTCGCGGCCCCGTTTCAAATCGTGACCGCGACCTCCGGAGGGGGGTGCCACGACTTGGCGGCAACATGATCGTAGACGTGAAGCGTATTTGTGTACAACCTGGCCTGAAGTATGTTCATTTTCTCAAATTCCGGTGTGTTGATTCATGAAACTCGGCGGTACGCGGTTGTCGATGTCATACTCGACATTCGCACATTTTTAAAATTTCGTATTTGTGGTCCTGCACGCACGCACCGCCATATATGCATTCTTTGCCCTTTTCGGACGATGTCAATTTTGTTTTTGTAGTTGCTTCGCTCTCAGTAGATCGGGTCAGTGACCAACTTCTACAGTGTACTCGTTCAACACGATGGCAGCTTGGTATGGCTTTTCGGTTTGGTAAATCATCTTTCTCTACTTTTCTGCGATGATGGAATGCCATACTTCAAGACATTTCAGTTACATATCATCGGAAAATACAGTTCTCATCTCGGCATCAGACAAAAGAAACCACTACCGGAAATTCCACTGCACTGGCACTTGCTCTGACCACGAGGTCAGGAAAGCGAAAGCGCTTGGATGTCAGCGGCAGCCCCTCAAGAGTCCAAACCTACATGATTGTATGTCGGAATTATTTTCGTCGACTTCAAGAATACGAGCCACGAGGCACTTGATCCAGCATGCGAAAATTACATCCAAAACGGGCCACAACTTTATTAGGAAACGCACGAACTCTTTTGGATACGAGCTGCAATTCGTAAAGTTTGTGTGACAACTTCACGTCTACGCGTGTATGAGGCCTACCGGTAGTGTGAGCACGACTGCCACGTTTCTGCGTTTTGCTGACGCATGGACGCGTGCTCATGGTCGCAGTGTGAGCGCGCCCTGCGTTTACACGACAACGCTGGGGGCGAAAACGCAACGAAATCCTTTACGATAAATTTATTTATTTTTATTTATTTATTTATTTATTTATTTATTTTACCACTCGAAAGCTATATAATTATTATTTTGAATATGACCAAAAAGAAACAAAGAAAAATGATGGCGCCTATGTACAGGGGATGGCCCACGCCTGGTATAAAGTAAACGTGAAAGAGAAAAAAGACAAAGAAGAAGGAAAAGAAAAGATAACAAAGAAAGAGAGGTAAGCAACTCCATGTACATCCATCGTACTTGTGTCATACGCTTACAATGAACACTCAGCAGCCGCCAGAACAGCCGAGTGAACAGGAAGTGGCACTGAAGAGCGCCGGTAGCCGCGCAGACTAGCAACCATGGCTCTCACTAGGCTGAAGGACAGTTTGGTCCGGACGAAAGCCATGGTGACGGAAAAAGGCTCGTTGCGCTTGTCGCTCAGTTTGCTGGCAATCCTGGCAAACAGCGCAGATGAGGCCTTTCCCTGTCCACCAGTGGTGGAGAAGACAATGTGCACAAAGGAGGAGTGCTTTACCTCCAGAACTCGCCGCTCATATTTCCTCCGCTTCTCCTGCTCATGCTTTCTGTAGACAGACGGGAGTGTAAGGTTTCGATTTGAGGGGACAAAAGGGTTGAACACCCGAACATCAAACATTGTCCTCTCAAAACTACTCCCATACAACCCCCGCGCTGCCACATCGAGCCTAGCATGGTCTTCGATGTTGGTCGACCGAAGAGGGAACATTTCACCGGACAGGGGCTCCAGTGCAGGCTCCACACAAACATCGTGGGCTACTTCCCGCAGCAAATTGGCGGTGAGGTCGCGAATCTCATTGTGCCGCATTCCAGGGAAGCCACCAACCGAACACGACAGTGCATGCGTCGTGTCAAACTAGACATCCTTAGCAAAAGTACGATAACGCTAACTTTTACGGTACTCACTCCCAGCCGTGACAAAAGACGTTATCGGATAACGGAAAAACGTTACAGAGCTCAAAATAACGGGCCGACGTTCGTTATGGAAATTCTGCAAAAAATGCAAAAACTCGCATTGTTTTGTAACTGGCGGGAGATAAAAAGCACGTCGTGCAGATCGAGATGAGATCGAGAGTCGAGATTGCTTCCTCTTGTGACATTTAGCTTTTTTGGCGAGTTTTGCCTTTCAGTTGACAATTTCTGCGTCCTCTGCTTCGTGCCTTTCTCCCTCTCTGCCATCTGGGAAACAGAGGACCAGTTCCACGGCACTCCTGAGGAAGAAGTTCATCGGCCTCTCCCAGACGTGCTGGAGCTGGAGAACCCTTACAGTCTTCGGTGCTGCGTTTAGGAAAGGGTTTCCAAGGACCTGGGAACAGCGAAAACTCATTTTCGCCGTTTTTTTGCTATTCCAGAGTAAAAGACCTCGCCAAGGTATTCTTTCGGAACGACAGCAAACTAATCCCTGGTTCAAAATTTTGAATTTCCCGCACGAAAATTCATATCGCCATGGTTGTCACGACTACTTCGTCTCAACTATAACGTACTTTGTGCTAAGGGAAAAGTCAGCTTGAACGATCCCTGGATCAAAATGGGTGCCCTATTATTTTAAAGCTTGAACGATCCGAAGTACGGAATGGCTTGCGTTTACGTTAGCGTTTTTTTAGCTAAGGATATCTACTGCTTGCCGCAGACGCAATGAGTTGGCAGTCGGGGAGGTGTCCAGCCGTATCGTAGGCACAAGGCATCGCGGAATCCCGACTTTGGCATTGTGAATTGAAAGCGGGCGATCCTTTCGGATCCATGGTTCATTTACGGTACGCGGAGCAAAACGTAAAAGTTGTACACCAAAACTGAAGAAAAACCAAAAATCTCCCACTGGTATTCAGTGCATCTGGTGGGTGCGGCCAGGTAGCCCACGCTTTCCTGAAGCGTCTTGGCCATATGGTTTCGGAGAAGCGGCATGAACCCTACTCCTCCGTCATGTCCTGGATCCGCTCTCTTGTCTCCTTTGCTTTGGTTCGATCCTGCAACATGAGCCTCCGTGGTCACCGTGCTTCTCCCTACCGCAGTCGTTTGGATGCTGCCACTCCTGTTGTGCTGG